AATTAGAAAATAGAAAAAGGTCAGATCTTGCCATTATCAACTCAATCAGCCGCAGAGTGCCACGCAGTCAATTAATTCAGCATCTGTGTTTTTTACAATCCTGTGCACGTCTTTCCGTGGCCTGTAACTCTTCAGGGGGACAGATATACTGCTCGGCCAGGCAGGGACGTAAATGGGAGCTGAACAAATGATCTGAGCTAATTGAGAGATTTATGTCACCCGGCCTTGCCTGCACCCCATAGCTGCCTCTTTCTGTCTGCAAACCTTTACACAAAATTTTCGCTCTGAATAGAAATGTACAGCGGTGCCGCGATCTCCAATAAGCCTTTTGTCATCTACACGTTCAAATATGTAACATTGTATGGTGTCATAGTAGAGGAACCTGTACTTACAAGCCATTGAGATACAAGTTCCATCACATGTGTTACGTGTCCATTGAGACAGCTCTGTTGTATTTCCTCCAGTAGGAGATTACTGTCAGGGACCCCAGTGTTGGCCGCGCTCGCGCATGCGCACTTGTGATTACAGACGCAAGCCTGGCACCAATCAGGGTGCAGGGTGCCCTATTTAAAACAGGTCAGGTCTGACTCTCATTGCCATATGGTCTTACCTGCGTCCCGAGTTCCTGTATTGAAGATTGTCTTGTTGCCGACCCTGCCTGACCTTGATTTGCTGTCTGTCTCCTGTCCTGATCCCTGGCTTGTCTGACCATTCTCCTGCTTAACCCTGCACGTTCTGATCTGGTACCGATCCCGGCTTGTGGCCTGTTTATCCTTCTGCCTACTGATTTTGTACCACGCTGCCTCCACCATTACTGACCCGGCCTGCCCGACGCTGCTCTTGTTACCTCCTCACATCAGACTCTCACCTGCTATACACCTCCAGTGGTGCTTCTACCACAGCTGGGTGAACCCATGGGCCGTGACCTGTTCTCGGCCTGCTCCAAGTCCATCCCCACAATCAGGGGCCCTGGTGAACAAGCAGGTTGGGACTTAGATTCCGCGGCTTGGGGGACTCCGGTCTGTGGAACGCTAGAGGCTACCACCGGTAGGAACCTAACAATTACTCTTCAGGATTTTAAATAGAGTCCAGTAGAGCTTCTGCCATGTTATTTAAGCCCTGCTCAAGGTTTCTTATTTTGGCTCCTGAAACGTGTTGGTTACCACCTGTCTTCCTGTTATCAAATTATTATTGGCAATAAACTATAATGGCCTCATAAGGCAAATGTTTGGTTCTCGGTTTTCAGTTTTTATGTATATTCCTCAATCCAAGTGACCTCATATTCTTTAGAAGACCCCTTGCCTTGTTGTAGAGTTGTCACAGCTATTTCCCCAAATCCCACTGCCACAGTTCGTTTGATGGATCATAGGTTGAAGTCCAGCTCCTCAGTTTTATCTGTTATTGGAGATCGAAAAATGACATCAGGAACCCTTTAGTCTCAGAGTTCCTTGACATCCAGACCCAAAAGCATATTAAAACTATTTGATATTTTCCTTATTGCATTGAAAGCATGGTCTGTGGAGAGTATTGACATTGACAATGAACTCTTGTTTTTCCTCAATATGTTTCTCAAGCAGTGCCACTGTCTAAGAGTAAGTTAAAAGTTCTGCTTTAGGATTCTCCCAACTTTTCAGAAAGTTCCCTTCTCCATATACAAAAAAAAAAGGCAAACGTTTTTTTTCCATAAATTCTTGCTGTTCCGGTTTTTAGATGAAGTTGCAGCATAATATTTTCCATTTTTTGCTCATATGGTAGCTAAGTCCTATCTACAGTAGCTAATTCCATCTGCAAGGAGGTAGGATCTGTGAGGCACCCAACATCACATCCTATGGATTTTAGGTATCCCTCAAGGAACTATATGTCCCATCATTCTTTGGGATATTGGCAATAGTGTTGGGCAATTTTGTGAGCCTCTAGAGTACATGTGTCAAACCCAAGGCAAGCGGGTCGAGTCTGGCTAACCAGGCCAATTCATGTGGCCCTCACACCTTTCCTGCAGCTGCAGCACCCCACCTTGTCTCAGCAGTCAGCAGCAGAGAGGAGGACAGAACTCCTCCTACAGATCCTGCACCTCTCTGTGTAATCACAGCCCCCCCTTGTCTCAGCATTCAGCAGATTCTGGCAGATTACTCTACCCTCCTCTGGTCCTCCTCAAGACCTTGCACTTTCTGCTTCCTAGCTCTGCCCCCAGCTTCTTTCCGGCAGCACAAGGTAAAGGGGGACTCTTGACTTTTGATGTTGGGTGGGCTCTTGACATCCTATGTAAGGGAGGGTGGGTCTACTAGAGATCTAGTCTTACAGAGACAACTGGCCCTTTGAGGACAACCATAAGGCTGAATGAGGTCCATGATAAAATTAAGTTTGACACCCCTGATCTAGAAGAACTAACTGTGGTGGTGGTTCTTGACATGGGAGAAACTTATCAATTTTGTAACATAGCTTTGTCTGTGGCCAGTGTTTTGACGAATGTATGACTGCTTTTTCTCTGATAAGACCCATTTGTTGGATCTATTTCTGCTTCCAGTCTGCCATCCCTCCTCCACACGGTGGATGCTCTTATTTATGCTGGAAACATAAAATGCAGCGCTAAATATTTAAAATGATGAGAAAGTGACAAGTGCATAAAAGGCGCAAAATAATGCGCTAGGGAAGTGTAACATAAGTGTCGTTAATGAGTGATGAGAAAAAACGTGAATGGATAATCAATAAAGTGTATCAAGTGGCAAACATATACTTTATTGAAATGTATAAAATAGCGATCAGTTAATGACAATAGGAAATATATTGCAATAAATTAGATGACAATTGCAGATATCTTGAGATATAAGCAGTCTGATAAAAGTGATGCATCAAATTTCCGTGCTCAAGACTTCTTGTGATAAAGGATTGAAGTATGCTTGCACTCACCGGAAGCGCAATATTAATGCGCATGTAATAATATCCAGGAAAACACTGGTGGTCACACACAGCACACAGGAAAGGCACTCCAGACCTCACAAACTGGACCCTCACAGCATACAGGGACACCTCCTTTTATGAATCTTCACCAGGAGAATGAATTGCCAAACTGGTACTACTCCACCTTAAATGGCTCAAGAACAAGCCATCAAACAAAGGTATTTTGATAGTGTAGTATTTTTAATGAATATTGGCAAAAAGTTCCAGGTATGCAGTATAAAAATTGAAAGCTTACAGAGCAGTGATAGAATTCAGTATTAAAGATGGCCGCTGGCCTACCATGCGGCGGCGTGACGTCAGTGCGGCAAGACTCCCTCTCTGACGCGTTTCGTGCAAAAGCACGTTGTCAAAGGGTTCAATAAGCATATTTTAAACTTTGGGTATTATGCTTTGTAAAGTGGATAATTTTTAACATTTTCTATGTAATAATTCCATTGTAATTGATAGTGATGCACGCTTTTGTATGTTAGTACCTGAAAAGTCAACTCATTTTCTCTGGTTTCTGATTGGACATTAGCAATAGTGATGGGCAGTTTTGTGGGAGGTGATAAGTCTTTCTCACTTCTCCGACCACATAGCCACACAGCACTGGGCCAGACAGATGACCCGGATTTACATTTGCATAACCGTCAATAAAGTGCTGCATGTATGGACAGACCAGAAACTTGCCAAATTCACGAAAATATGAAAATTATAAGTTTAGATTTGTATTTTCCATGGGAACAGCCTTGCAGGTGGTATCTACAACTTAAACATTTTGGACTGCCAGCTGCATCCTGAACTTTCAGAGTTGAGGTCACAGTGCTGTTTAATCCAGCACAAACTACAGTAGTTGCTTAGACAACTTTCCACAGGAGGTGCCCATGAATGGAATGGAATTAAAGCTTTACACGTCACATATGGAAAGTACCAAGAAAGTTATATCACATGAATACAGAACCTCTCCAGACCGGGTCATCCCACTATAGGCAGCATTGACCTAAGTACATCAACACAACATGTGCTACATGCCAATGGGATTAAACGGAACCCGCTGATAGGAGGAGACAGCAGGGAGATGAGTCTCTTGCTTTTCCTCGGTTGGTTAGTTACAGGATATGGGCAAGGAGGTGATCTACTGTAGCTGTGCTTCTCAAACTTCAGTAGAGAAAACTTGGGACATCATTGGAAGGAATACCCATAACCCTCTTTACAGAATGTTTCTATGGAAAGTGGTCTGTTAAAAAATAAGTGGGGTTGGCCTAAAAAAAAAAAAGCTCACAATCAGGGGCGGACTGACAACTCATGGGGCCCCCGGGAAATAGGGGATCATGGGGCCCCTGTGTCCTTGCCCAAACTCAAAAGAGCCTATGAAAAAGGTACCAGGGGCATCTCATGTGGCCCCCTGCTGACCCCGGGCCCTCGGGCAGTGCCCGAGTTTCCAAATGGTCAGTCCGCCCCTGCTCACAGCTTGTGTGCCTACAGGCTCCAGGAATACAAATCCAGCTCAATGATAAGTCCAAGTCTTAGCCAATGTCAAATGGTGTGCATTGGGGCGCATTGCATGTAGCAGGTTTTCCAAGCAATGGAATGGCCACACTTCCTAGATATATGTGTATCATGTATGGCTGATGAACATTGGGTGAGCAGCTCTTTAAAATCAGGTGATTATAGATCATATCAGAAAAGTCAGATGTCCTTTTTTTGCATCCACTCCATCATGGGAACACTCTGCCTGGGTTTTTTCCAGCCTAAGGTTTAGGAACATTCATAACTAGAGAATGTAAGCATTGGTTGACACATTTTAATGGAGCATTGATAATGGCTTTTCTCCACTGATAATCTGATATGCATGTGATGACTTGTGAGGGTTATTTACCAAAACTGGAGAGTGTAAAACCTGGTGCAGCTCTGCATAGAATCCAATCAGCTTCCAGGTTTTATTGCCAAAGTTTAATTGAACAAACTGAAGTTAGAAGCTGATTGGCTGCCATGCACAGCTGCACCAGATACTGAGTGCTCCCCTATGATGTTAACTTGACTGAATCTGTCTTTTTTTCCAGATGGTGAAGGCAATCCAAGTGCTGAGAATCCACCTGCTGGAACTGGAAAAGGTGAATGAATTGTGCAAGGATTTCTGCAACCGCTACATCACCTGCCTGAAAACCAAAATGCACAGCGATAATCTCCTCAGGAACGACTTGGGAGGACCCTATTCCCCAAACCAGGCGTCCAACAGCCTTCACACACAGGTCAGACAACACAGAGTCCTCATTCTATGTGTATCAGTGTAGATACTTTTTGTATTAACTTTGGATCAAAGGCCACAGAGACTCATCAGAAACGTTCTACAACATACTTAATAGATAATTGAGCCCAAACATAAGATGCCATGAACCACCCATAGCGGAGAGCAGGTTACTTCACAAGTATGTCGCTACGCCCTTTAGACTAGTGAGAACCCCCAAAAGTCGAGTAAGATGACATTTACCCCAGGGCTGTTTGCTTGGCATGTGGTGATGGTGTAAGGCACTGGGTGCCAGTCACTTTTTTGGTGATTTGACAATGTTGTTTTCACCTTTAGTTCATGGAGAGAGGGTAATGGGCTCCAGATACCCTTGACTCTATACTGACTCCAAACCCCACCCCCTGCTATACAGAACAAAGGAATTAAATCTGTAACTGCTATTCAGTAATTTACAGTAACTTAGACAGAACATGGGTGGCTATATTCAGACTCCCCGAAGAGTTACCAGCCTCCATGAGAGGCTCCAGCTTCACAGAGCTTTCTGAGACACCTCCTGTACCAGTGTTCCTCTCTTGGCCTACTGTATTGGGACCAGGTTCCCACCATACAGACAGGGCCAGCTTCAGGCCTAAACCCTCTTAGACACACAAATGCCCTTCCTTGGCAGCAGGTCTAGCAGCAGAACTGATACCCTACCTCTCCTAGGGCCATTCTCCTATGGGGAAGACACCTTCACAGGATGGACTCAAATATTTATACCCTTCCACACCACGTGCCACAGGGAAAGGTTTCCCTGTATTAACATATGATGGTGGACGTTTCTGGATGAGAACCAGCTGATTCCTGCTGTCTGATGTTGCCTGAGAGCAAGAGGCAGGCATAGACAATAGGTCTGGGTTTAGGGAAGGTCAAGCCAAAACAGATCCTATCAATTAAACTTTTCGCTAAATACAGCCAGGCAGTTCTAAATTTTGAGAAACACTCCTGCTTACGGCAGGGTGCTTGCATGAGACCACTTTGTGTTGATGGAAAGTGCAGCATGCTTTTAGTTCAATTTCAGATGCCTGGGAGATCATCAGAAGTTATTTCTCAACTCTTGAATGTTCCCCAGAATACTTTCTCACCCCTTGATGAGTGTTCCCCGTAGTACTTTATCACCTATTAATGAATGTTCCCGTAGTACTTGCTCACACCCCTCGATGAATGTTCCCCGTAGTACTTGCTCACCCCTCGATGAATGTTCCCCGTAGTACTTGCTCACCCCTCGATGAATGTTCCCCGTAGTACTTGCTCACCCCTCGATGAATGTTCCCTGTAGTACTTTATCACCTTTTAATGAATGTTCCTCAAAGTATTTTCATTACATTTTCCTTACAACTGAATTTAGGGCTTCAAGAATTGTGTTCTTCTTGCCCACAGCAACCAACAAGCTTTTGAAAAAGTATCACAAATCTGATTGTCAGCCATGGACAACAAGAGTGTTTTCCATTTGGAATATTTTTTTCTGTCTAGTGTTTCTACAGAGGGATGTGGCCAACAGATTCTTTTCCAGCCCAGCTTAGCCCACAAAGGCAGCTGATATAACAAACAGTCTAGATATATATATAAGTTGAGCCTGAAGGAATGCCATACACATTGTTGGAAGTCCGATTTATTTTTTTATTTTTTCCGCAAGGACAACAAGAAAAACTACAGGCTGCCAACATGTTTCAGGGGCCAAAGCACCCCCCTTTTTCAGACTGCTTCACCAGGCAAACATTGGCTGGCCATTGTTTTTCCTGTTTCCTTTGTGGAGCAAATCAAATACCGCTGGGCTCTCAACAACATGTGTTTGGTGCTCCTTCTGGCTCAATTATATTTATTTATTGATTACAGGGTCTTTGCCGTCAATTTACGCAGCGCTTTACACATATATATTACACGGTCACATCAGTCCCTGCCTTCAAGGAGCTTACAATCTAAGGTCCCTAACTCACATTCATACATACATATTATTTATTAGAGGTATTTAGATAGCGCCGTCAATTTATGCAGCGCTTTACATATATATTGAACATTCACATCAGTCCCTGACCCTCAGGGGCGCCACAATCTAAGATCCCTACTTACATTCATACATACACACACTAGGACAGGGGCGGACTGACAACTCATGGGGCCCCCCGGGCAATAGAGGATCATGGGGCCCCTGTGTCCTTGCCCAAACTCAAAAAAAGCCTATGAAAAAGGTACCAGGGGCATCTCATGGGGCCCCCTACTAACCCTGGGCCCCCCGAGTTTCCAAATGGCCAGTCCGCCCCTGTACTAGGACCAATTTAGACAGGAGCCAATTCACCTACCAGCATGTCTTTGGAGTGTAGGAGAAAACCGGAGTACCCGGAGGAAACCCACGCAGGCACAGAGAGAACAGGCAAACTCCAGGCAGGTGGTGTTAAAGAACTGGCGAACCTAGACCATCTGGATCCGATTAAGGTCTTTTTATCTACTATCAAAGGATCCAGATCTAGCGCCATGCTCCTACTGGTATATAAAAATATGGGCACAGGAGTCAGGTATCACATTTTTGACCAAAAAGAATACTTAAATTTTGGATGTATCGACATTTAAAACTGAGGCCTAGCCGTTATCACCCATCTCTCTATGGTGGACCAAAGTACACTTGGCTGGCCAGCCATGCTTTCACACTGTGTCACACAACAATACCCCGGCTATCTTCCGCCGATCAGCAGTCACAAATCCAGCAGCCTTTTGTGTTGTGCGTTTTTATGGGCTGCAGAGAATATTTAAATATTGCATGCGCTGGCACTGGAGATGATATCAGGAATATTTGATGCGCTCTACATGAAAAGATATATTCATTATGAGCAATTTTCTTTCATTTTCCTTTTCCTCCCAGGATCGCCTCAAAAATACAAATAAATAATGGCACAAAAAAAAAATCTAATTTAGACATCCTGAAATAACAGAACCACTTAATCACTGATTTTAAAAGTAGGGAGAGGGGGTTTTTCTTCCTCTTGTTTGCTAATATCCTCTGGAAAAGAGACTTCTTATGCCGTCTCTGCTTATTGCGCCTTCCCTTATGAGCGAAATTAGCAAGAAACTTGCATAAAGGACGACAATAATTGCTCAACGAGCATCTCGTTTGTAATTTATTAGCTTCTATTATTGCAGGTTGCCATGGCAACAACTTGCATCCCGGGCGACAAGAGAGATGTTAGATATGAAGCGGTGGGGCTGCGCGCTCGGGAAAATGGAGATGCACATTTTTATCAGTAATTCTGCTGAAAATAGGAAGTGAGAAGTTAATGAGATGTAAAGCTGTCCTGTGGCTGTTGTGAATAGATTTTTATTTTTTTTAAAATGTTGATCTAATTAGAATGCATTGGTCAGGAAACGTAATGAGGATTTAAGCTTCTCGCAAAACCACCTCAGATCCTGGCAGGAAATAAATATATTATGATGGTAATGAATAGTCCACGGTTGGAAGTGGACGTCCACCTTTCCTGCAGGAAAATTTCCCATTTCTGTTTTAATTCAGGCTCGCCCGACATAAATTAAATTTTTTACTCTATATAATTACATAGTAATATTTTATGAACAATGTATATATTTTAGGGATAGGACTGTCATCTGCTTCTCACCTTCGTGAGCCTGTTACGTTAGGCCTCATATACTGTATCTTAAAGAAAAACTCTGCAGAGTTTTATGTGTTGGATTCTGTCTTCAGAACCAGGAGCGGATTGACCATTTGGGAACTCGGGCACTGCCCGTGGGCCCGGAGTCAGTAGGGGGCTCCATGAGATGCCCCTGATACCTTTCATAGACTTTTTTGGGTGTGGTTTGAGTGTGGGCTAGGACACGGCCCAATGATCCCCTATTGCCCGGGGGCCCCATGAGTTGTCAGTCCGCCCCTGGTCACACCGAATCCGATTTTGAAAGCTCTGATGTCAGTTTGACTTCAGGTGTGACTTGGAAGACATCTGTGTGACTTCAAGCACAGATGTCAATGTTAGTGGAAGCAACTGGGAACAACAGCCACTCAGCCACCAAGTGGTAGGCCACGTCACATGACAGGGCGGGGTCAGCGCATGCTGAAGCGCACAGTGCGCAGAAGTCACCAACTGTCTGCAGAGTCAATAGCTAAAGACCTCCAAACTTGGTGTGGCCTTCAGATGAGCCCAACAACAGTGCGTAGAGAGCTTCATGGAATGGGTTTCCATGGCCGAGCAGCTGCATCCAAGCCTTCCATCACCAAGTGCAATGCAAAGCATTGGATGCCGTGGTGTAAAGCACGCCGCCACTGGACTGGACCACTGGAACAATAGAGACGTGTTTCTCTGGAGTGACCAATCACGCTTCTCTGTCTGGCAATCAGATCTACGTGTCTGGGTTTGTCAGTCCGCCCCTGTTCAGAACACTATTAGTATTGTAATAAGAAACAATGCAAACCTATAGCCTTTGGGTATGACCTCTGGGAAGATATGCAACTCAAAGGTTAATGCAGCTCTGTATTCATTAATGCATAATTAAATGCATTTTTTAAAGGCAAGAAATATAAGTACATGAAGTTGACTTGGTATCTGCTTCTAGCAGTCCCTGTCCAGGAGAGCTCAGAATGGGAGCGGAAGGAGAAGCACAAGGAGCCAGTCAGGAGTGTTGCAATGTTCATGTACTAACAAGGAACATACTGACAGGAGGAAAGTGCAGATTTACAGTTTGATGAGCTCATCGTTTTTCTGCTTTTCCTTTCACTGTTCAGTCACAGGCTAGGGCAGCTATTCTGAGGGTCCTAGGGAACCCTAGGATTCCTCCAGAGCCTGCTAGGGGTTCCTTGAGCTGTTGCTGCTTGACTTCCCATCTGATGGTGCCTGCATTGTTCCAGGGCCAAGATCATTTGGAAGAGCCAGTGGTATGACACCAATAGTCTTTTTATCTATATGTTAGGGTGTCATTCTGACATTGTAAAAGAGTAATTTTTCCCACTGACTACCAGAACAAGAGGCATTCTTCTCATTGACTTCCGATGAATTTGTTTCCCCAAGACCTAAACATTCTTAAAAGTGTTCCTTTAAGGCAGCCTTTCTTAACCAGGATTCCTCCAGAATTTGTTAGGGGTTCCTCCAGAACTTGCAAGGGGTTCCTTGAGCTGTGACTGGCTGACCTTCCATCCGATGGTACCTCCATAGTTCTGGGGCCAACAACACTTGGCAGAAGCAGGTGGGTCACCAATGGTCTTTCTAGCTATCTATAAGGGTGTAATTCGGACCACCACTATAAAAGCGGCATTTTTTTTCTGCCGACCACCAAAGTAAGGGGCATTTTTCCTACTGGTCTCCAATGAATTGGTTTTATCAGGGGTACACCAAGACTTGAAAATTATTTCAAGGGTTCCTCTAGGGTAGCCTTTTTCAACTAGTTTTCCTCCAGAGGTGGCTAGGGGTTCCTTGAGCAATGCCTGCAGATGAGTAACCACGATCAACAATTATCTTTTTAGCTATCTATAAGGGTGTCATTTGGACAAAGAGCCATTTTTTTTCCACTGACCACCAATGTAAGGGGCATTTTTTTTCCACTGACCACCAATGTAAGGGGCATTTTTCCCACTGATCTCCAATGAATTGTTTTTTTCAGAGGTACACCAAGACTTGAAAATTGTTTCAAGGGTTCCTCTAGGGTAGCCTTATTCAACTAGGGTCCCTCCAGAGGTTGCTAGGGGTTCCTTGAGCAATGCCTCTCAGATGGGTAACCACTATCAGCAATGATCTTTTTAGCTATCTCTATGGGGGAATCTTCCTAATTCCCACAAATGTAGGGAACATTCCTCTTAGGCAGGTCATAGATTATTCAATTTTCTTTTCTTCCACCATGGGTGGAAGGAACAAAAATTGCTGGTTTTCTGGATACCCCCATCAATGCAGTCAGTGTTATTGATCTTCCGGTATGGAGCCTTCCCTGCCACCAGAACACAATTAGTGACAAACACAAATACTCCTGCACTTGGGGATGGACTCAACAGAGGCTACAACTCCATTTTGATTGTCCTGGATAGTGCACGCCTTGCTGCTCCTAAAGGACCAGGAAAGTCCAAAAACCCTGAATGCAAAGAAGACAAACAGAGGGCGCAGTGGCCTAGTGCATTACCTTAAAAACACATTTATTAATAAAAAGTAATATACTCACAAACGACAAATACGTAAAAGACACATCATAAAAGAACAGCACTGTCCAGTCCACATTACATGACTGTCTATAATAGGAACCCTGGGCCTCCAACAGGCTAATGCATTTCGAGGACTTGCCTCTTCCTCAGGGCTCTGCCAGCTATAGTTGGCGACACCAATCACTTAGGAAAAACCCGACAGGCTGGTTGTACACAATTACATCGATGGAACATTGTGTACAACTTGGGTGCCCATACATGGATTGAAATTTAATTCATGTATGGCAGGCTTAAGTGAACTTTTGATATAGTAACTAATAGTAGGTGTTTCCTGAGCCTTTATTTTCAAGGGTTCCTCTATGGTGAAAAGGATGAGAAAGGCTGCTCTATATTAAAACAGTTTAGAAAGGTTGGGCTAGGGATTGGACAAGGCAATACTTAACTGCAGCAGAGAAGAATCAAGACTTTGCCAGACAGGGCTATGCAGTTTGGGTGAACTGTGTAAATATCAGGGCTGGATAGGCAGAAATATAAATCGTTTGGTGGGTATAATGTTGGAAAAAGGAAAAATTACTTAGTGATACTTATGTCTCTGTAACCTGTCTAGGAAATGTAACACTTATAATTGGATGCTGTCTATGGACAGTACCTCCATTCTCCTGTTTTAAAAAATGATTCTTCACATTTTCTCCCTTCTTCATTATCATTTTATTTTTAACCAATGATACCGCAAAGCTCCTAATTCACTCCCTGGTTATCTCTCGGCTCAACTACTGCAACTCCCTCCTCATTGGCTTACCTTTACATAGGCTATCCCCCCTCCAGTCCATCATGAATACTGCTGCCAGGCTCATCCACCTTACCACCCGCTCAGTGTCTGCTACCCGTCTGCCAATCCCTCCACTGGCCTCCATTCAGTGTCCTCCACCCCTCTCTGCCAATCCCTCCACTGGCCTCCACTCAGTGTCCTCCACCCCTCTCTGCCAATCCCTCCACTGGCCTCCATTCAGTGTTCTCCACCCCTCTCTGCAAATCGCTCCACTGGCCTCCATTCAGTGTCCTCCACCCCTCTCTGCCAATCCCTCCACTGGCTTCCAGTTGCCCAACGAATAAAATTAAAAATACTAACAGCTTACAAAGCCATCCACAACTCTGCCCCAGCTACATCACCAACCTGGTCTCAAAATACCAACCAAACCGCTCTCTTCGATCCTCCCAAGACCTTCTGCTCTCTAGTTCCTGTGTCAACTCCTCCCGTGCTCGCCTCCAGGACTTCTCCCGAGCTTCTCCCATCCTACGGAACTCCCTACCCCAATCTGGCTGTCTCCTAATCTATCCATCTTTAGACAATCCCTGAAAACCTTTCTCTTTAAAGAAGCCTATCCTGCTTCTACCTAGTAAGCCACCATTTATTTCCTCCATCAGCTCATCCCCCACAGCTATTACCTTTTGTATCCCTCAACCCTTCCTCCTAGATTGTAAGCGCTCCTCTGTTTCCTCTTGTACCAAATTGTATTGTAACTGTAATTTCTACCTTCATTTTGTAAAGCGCTGCGCAAACTGTTGGCGCTATATAAATCCTGTATAATTATAATAATAATAATCACTGTCCACTTATTCCATTATATGACAATCTTTCTTCGCAACCAGATCCCCTTTTATCTTTCTTTTCATGGAAACCAGTTGAGCAAATTTCCTTTCTTCTTTTGTCATTTTAGGACTTGTTACAGAATTCTCCCAACGCGTTGTCTGCTCTGTCCAACAACCCACAAGGAATAGTTGTTCCGTCCACACTACAGCAAAGCAGCCTTTCCATGACAACCGTCAACTCTTCGCAGGTTGTATCAGGTGGGAAAATGTCAAACTGAAATGACTGTACCTAGAGGACTTTGTGTATGGTGGGATGCATTGTGATCTGTGCCCTTTATAATGAGCAATGTACATACGTTGATGTGTTCATATCAGGGGTGGACTGACAACTCATGGGGCCCCCGGGCAATAGGGGATCATGGGGCCCCTGTGTCCTTGCCCAAACTCAAAAAAGCCTATGAAAAAGGTACCAGTGGCATCTCATGGGGCCCCCTACTGACCTCGGGCCCTCGGGCAGTGCCCGAGTTTCCATATGGTCAGTTCGCCCCTGGTTCATGTGAATGTTTATCTGTGGAGCCTGACCCTGATTGTAGTTTATAGGGAGCCTATACTTTGCACTTGCAGACCAAAGTAACAGGTTCACCCTATTGCCCCCATGCTTATACCGGCCTTTCCTCAACCAAAGAGAAAGTGAAATAGCTGGTACTTCCTGGTATGATGTTGGGCTGACTCTTTCCTCTTCTGCCCATGATGCAGCACTGGTTTCTTGCATTACGAGTTGTCAAGCCCCAGTGGTGTTATATGGGGTGGAAAGAGAGTCCTTAGCCCTGTATATACTCTACGGCCAAACGTCTGCAGACACCTGAGCATCACACCTATATAAGCTTGTTGGACATCCCATTCTAAAACCATACAATAATACTGGTTACATTGTTCATTTTTATGAATGTTTCAGTCAATGTTCCAAATTATTATAGTACTTGAAAGTAATTTTATCAGAAGGCACACTCATTCCTGGACTTTTTCTTTTTTAAGAATAACAATGCCTGTTAAGCTACCTTGAGATTTCCTGGTAATAATATATTTATTTGTAAATTTATTATGGTAATTCTGAATACTATCTCCTTATCGCTGTGACTGACTCTGTTTTATGGGTTCTTTGAGTGCTTTTGAAAAATAAAATGTACTATGCAAAATTACTAATGTACCTGAAATTCCATTATGATGTGATTGTTCACCATGGTGGTCCCATGTCTCTTTTGTAAAGGTATCCAAGGTACTCTTGTGCGAGAGGAGAAAATGGCCAGCCGCCTATTTAGTTTATGACAAGCTAGGGAGGTGCACAGTGGGACAGACTATTTTCTATAAGTGCAAAATACAAAAGTCCCCAGCACTCAACCGTGTTAGACATCATTTATATTTATATATACACTATATTGCCAAAAGTATTGGGACGCCTGCCTTTCCACGCACAAGAACTTTAATGGCATCCCAGTCTTAGTCCGTAGGGTTCAATTTTGAGTTGGCCCCACCCTTTCCACACACATGATCTTTAATGGCCCCCCAGTCTTAGTCCGTAGGGTTCAATATTGAGTTGGCCCCGCCCTTTGCAGCTATAACAGCTTCAACTCTTCTGGGAAGGCCGTCCACAAGGTTTAGGAGGGTGTCTATGGGAAGGTTGGACCATTCTCCCAGAAGCACATTTGTGCGGTCAGGCACTGATGTCGGGGGAGGAGGCCTGGCTTGCAGTCTCCGCTCTAATTCATCCAGAAGGTGTCATGTTGGGTTGAGGTCAGGACTCTGTGCAGGCCAGTCAGGTTCCTCTACCCTAAACTCGCTCATCCACACATCTTTATGGGCCTTGCTTTGTGCACTGGTGTGCAGTCTTGTTGGAACAGAAAGGGGCCATCCCCAAAATCTTCCCACAAATTTGGGAGCATGAAATTGTCCAAAAATGTCTTGGTATGCCAACGCCTTCAGAGCTCCCTTCACTGGAACTAGGGAGCCAAGCCCAACCCCTGAAAAAACAACCCCACACCATAATCCCCCCTCCACCAAACTTTAGACTTGGTGAAATGCAGTCAGGCAAGTACAATTCTCCTGGCAACCTCCAAACCCAGACATGTCCATCGGATTGCCAGACAGGGAAGCGTGATTGGTCACTCCAGAGAACACATTCCCACTGCTCTACATTCCAGTGATGGCGTGCTTTACGCCACGGCATCTGACGTTTTGCATTGCACTTGGTGATGTAAGGCTTGGATGCAGCTGCTCGGCCATGGAAACCCATTCCATGAACCTCTCTACACACTATTGCTGTGCTAATCTGAAGGCCACACCAAGTTTGGAGGTCTTTAGCTATTGACTCTGCAGACAGTTGGCGACTTCTGCGCACTGTACGCTTCAGCACGCGCTGACCCCGCCCTGTCATTTTACGTGGCCGGGTTGCTGTTGCTTCCACTTTGTTATAATCCCACTAACAGTTGAGCGTGGTATATTTAGTAGCCAGGAAATGTTACGGATGGACTTATTGCCCAGGTGGCCACCTATCACGGGACCACACTTGGGGTCACCGAGCTCCTGAAAGCGACCCATTCTTTCACCAATGTTTGTAGAAATGTTTGATTTTATACACCTGTGGCCCTGGAGGTGATTGGAACACCTGAATCCAATGATTTGAAGGGCTGGCCCAATACTTTTGGCAATATAGTGTGTATGTGTGTGTATGTATATAGATAGATAGATAAGATAGATAGATAGATAAGATAAGATAGATAGATAGATATACACAAGTATATGTAAATCCACACCGAAGCAACTATGCAAAGTGAGGTCCCGCTTTGCTCTGTGTGAGAATCAACACAATGGCTAAGGAGCGAGCTTACCTTGACATTACCCCATACCTCCTTGAGGATAAGTACAGTGTAATACAAAGTCCTGTACCCCCCTTTCTTGCCTCTTCATGAAATCTGTAAAGGTAAGCAGTCAAATGTATTTTTTTTCCTTGCTTTTTCTGACATCATCTGTGTAGCAATGCATGTGGTAAACTAAGCCATAGAGACCCATAATTGTCCTAGGACAATGTACTGAGCTGTAGATGGACAGGACCATCATTCCCTAGAGCCAGGCATAGCACATGCAAGATGGAAGCACTCCCTTGGAGTGAAAATACACTTGTGTCTGCATCTGAGGTCTGTCATTTCTGTAATTTCCATGGTAAAATTGCAACACACACATCTACACTCACCAGCCACTCTATTGTGACCTCTGACATCAACAAGGCATTTTCATCCACACAACTGGCACTCACTGGATATTTTCTCTTTTTTCGGACCATTCTCTGTAAACGTTAGAGATGGTTGTGGTGAAAATCCCAGTAGATCAGCAGTTTTTGAAATACTCAGACCAGCCCATCTGGCACCAACAACCATGTCATGTTCAAAGTCACTTAAATCCTGATCCATTCTGATGCTCGGTTTAAACTTCAGCAAGTTGTCTTCACCATGTCTAGATGCCTAAATGCATTGAGTTGCTGCGATGTGAATATAATTAGCAATTTGTGTTACCAAGCAATTGAACAGGTGCACCTAATAAAGTGATATAAAGTGAGTGTATATAACTAACAAAGCCGTCTATCGTCATTAAAAGTGCAAAGTCCCAGCACTCAATATTGCTAGCCAGCAAAGAGACCAAATTCAAAGGTAATTCTTGTGTGAATATAGCTGGTCATGAATGGCACAGTCTGCAGGTCATTATCAGTGGGCCACTTTGTGGGTCTCCGTGGGTCATAGAGTCTACAGACCCTTGTGAGTCATGCAGGCTATTGGCCTCTGAAAATGTAGCCTTTGGGCCCCTATGGATGATGCAATCCGAAGGCCCTTGTGGGTGAAGCAGTCTGGGGGGCTCCTGTGATTGAGGCAGTCTATTGGCCTGTGTAAATGAAGTGGTTTGTGGGTCCCTGTCAGTTAAGCAATCAGTGGGCTCCTGTTGATAGCGTAGTCTGTGAGCTCCTATAGGTGACACAGTCTGTGAGCAAGTATTGATAGTGCAGTCTTTGGGCCCTTTTGGATGATGAAGACTGTGGACCCTGTAGGTGACACAATCTATAGACCTGCATTAGCCACATTGGGCAGCACAGTGGCTAAATGGTTAGCACTTCTGCCTGTCAGTACTCAGGTCATCGGTTTGAATCCCAACCACGGCACCACCTGCCTGGAGTTTGCATGTTCTCCCTGTGCCTGTGTGGGTTTCCTCTGGGTACTCTGGTTTTCTCCCACACTCCAAAAACATGCTGGTAGGTGAATTGGCTCCTGTCTAAATTGTCCCTAGTATGTGTATGTATGAATGTGAGTTGGGGACTTAAGATTGTATGCCCCTTGAGGGTAAGGGACTGATGTGAATGTACAATATATATATATATGTAAAGCGCTGCGTAAATTGACGGCGCTATATAAGTACCTATAATAAATAAATAAAATAGTTGGCAAACCCCTAAGGTTGGGATGGTCTGTGGGTCCATGTGGATGGCCCAGTCTGTGGACCCCTTTGAGTGATGCAGTCTGTTGGTTTATGTAAATTATGTAGATTCTGGACTCCAGTGGATGGTGCAGCCTGTGGGCCCCTGTGAGTGAAGCAATCTATGGGCTCCTATGAGTGACATAGCTTGTAGGGCACTATGGATGGTGCAGTTTTTGGCCCTTTTGGATGATGCAATCTGTGGACCCTGTAGGTGATGCATTCCTGGGACTTGGATTAGCCACGTAGTCAGTGGACACCTTAGGATAAGACAGTCTATGGTCCCATGTTGATGGCACAGTCTGTGGCTCCCTTTTGAGTGTTGCAATCTGTTGGTCGATATAAATGATGTAGATTCTGGACCCCAGTGGATGGTGCAGTCTTCAGTCCCCATGAGTAACATAACCTGTTCTGCTATGGTTGATGCTTTCTCCGTCTCTTGAGCGCTGCTCTTCGTTGTGAGTGATGGTGTCAGCTTCATATAATGTTTTCTCTTCTTATTGTACCGCACTCCCAGAGGAGAGGATGCCGCATGTCAATAAAGCTACAAATCTCTGCTGATGCCCATGTATTATTCATGAACGAGAGGTCTGCACTCCTCGGGGGATAGTTTAACCCCTCAGAGCCTGCGCTCTGTTTACATAATAGCAGCTTATGAAGCCATAACCTCCCCTCATTCTCCTAGATTGTTTGTGCAGTTCGGCCACCCGGCGTTTTTTTTTTTCCTTGGCTAATTTCACTATGTTCTGGAGGAAATGACTACTAGATTATGTCTTGTGTTAAGTCATTGCAGCTTGGTACGACAGATAACACAACACCTCCCTGGGGTAGAGCAATACAGTGTGTCTAGTTATGTCCTGTATAATTCACCCAACTCCGTAATAACTCTCTGCACCCCGTCAGTGTGTATTGCTGGGAATCACACAGCCCAGCGTCCTGCTGGGGAAAGTGAATATAATCACCTCATACTCAACGGTATTGGCTGCACATGATCAGTTATCTGCTTCATTTCTCTAACATAACTCAGCTTGGGGTTATTATGGAAAGTACCAGTTGTATTTAGCTAGTGACAGCGTTCGAAAATTGCAGTACATTTCAATGTTAATATGTTTTCAGTGCACCCAAAACCTTCATATTAAAGAGTTATTGTAGATCAGTTATTGTAGATCAGTTATCAAAGGTTGAGGAACTACAACCACCAACATGCAACCTTTGTATTAAAGAATTATCATTCACCAGTCTTTAAAAGGTTGAGGAACTACAACCACCAACATGCAACCTATGCATTAAAGAGTTATTGTAGATCAGTTCTTGTTGATCAGTCATCCAAAGTTTGAGGAACTACAACCACCACCATGCAACCTTTGTATTAAAGCGTTATTGTAGATCAATTATTATTGACCAGTCATCAAGGTTGTGGAACTGCAACCGCCAACATGCAACCTTTGTATTAAAGCGTTATTGTAGATCAATTATTGTTGATCAGTCATCAAGGTTGTGGAACTGCAACCGCCAACATGCAACCTTTGTATTAAAGCGTTATTGTAGATCAATTATTGTTGATCAGTCATCAGTGGTTGAGGAACTACAACTACCAACATGAATTTTTTATATTAAAGAGTTATTGTAGATCAGTTCTTGTTGAGCAGTCCTCAATGGTTGAAGAACTACAACCACCAACATGCAACCTTTGTATTAAAGAATTATCGTTCACCAGTCTTTAAAAGGTTGAGGAACTACAACCACCAACATGCAACCTTTGCATTAAAGAGTTATTGTAGATCAGTTCTTGTTGATCAGTCATCCAAAGTTTGAGGAACTACAACCACCACCATGCAACCTTTGTATTAAAGCGTTATTGTAGATCAATTAGTATTGACCAGTCATCGAAGGTTGAGGAACTGCAACCACCACCATGCAACCTTTCCGTTAAAGAGTTTATTGTAGATCAGTTCTTGTTGATCAGTCATCCAAAGTTTGAGGAACGTTAACCACCACCATGCATCCTTGTATTAAAGCGTTATTGTAGATCAATTAGTATTGACCAGTCATCGAAGGTTGAGGAACTGCAACCACCACCATGCAACCTTTGTATTAAAGCGTTATTGTAGATCAATTATTATTGACCAGTGATCGAAGGTTGAGGAACTGCAACCGCCAACATGCAACCTTTGTATTAAAGCGTTATTGTAGATCAATTATTATTGACCAGTCATCGAAGGTTGAGGAACTGCAACCGCCAACATGCAACCTTTGTATTAAAGGGTTATTGTAGATCAATTATTTACTGACCAGTCATCAGTGGTTGAGCAACTACAACTACCAACATGAATTCTTTATATTAAAGAGTTATTGTAGACCAGTTCTTGTTAAGCAGTCATCAATGGTTGAGGAACTACAACCACCACCATGCAACCTTTGTATTAAATGGTTATTGTAGATCAATTATTGTTGATCAGTCATCAAAGGTTGAGCGACTACAACTGCCAGCTTGCATCCTTTGTATTAAATGGTTATTGTAGATCAATTATTGTTGACCAGACATCAAAGGTTGAGGTACTACAAAACACCAACATGCAACCTTTGTATTAAAGAGTTATTGTAGATCAATTATTGTAGATCAGTCATCAGTGGTTGAGTTACTACAGCCACCAACATTAAACCTTTGTATTAAGGGGTTATTGTACAGTAGATCAGTTAGTAGTTGAGGAACTAGAACAACCAACATGTATCCTTTGTATTAAAGAGTTATTGTAGATCAGTTATTGTTGACCAGTCATCAATGGTTGAGGAACTACAACCACCAACATATATCCTTTGTATTAAAGAGTTATTGTAGATCAGTTATTGTTGACCAGTCATCAATGGTTGAGGAACTACAACCACCAACATGTATCCTTTGTATTAAAGAGTTATTGTAGATCAATTATTGTAGATCAGTCATCAGTGGTTGAGGTATTACAGCCACCAACATGCACCTCTGTGTTAAAAAGTTATCATAGATCAGTTATTGTTCATCAGTCATTGTAGGTTGAGGAAATGCAACCACCGACATGAATCCTTTGTATTAAAGTGTTATTGTAGATCAATTATTGCTGAGAGATTGAAGATCTACAACCACCAACCCGGTCCCACTGTCAGATTACAGTGTCCCGGTGGGGAGGGTGGGGGAAGGAAAAAAACTACCCATCTCTGGTCATCCTAATATTTAATGGATCCTCCAAGGCTGCTAAGACTTAGGCAGACCATAGGTTATGCAATTTTCTTTATCACTTGATCCCCCCATCAACACAGTCAGTGGAATCCCTTCCACAGTATTCTGCTGGTGGGGAGCCCTTTTGCAGGCTATAGCCAGCAGCACTAATTGTTTGGAAAAAAAATGACAGCCTGGTTGTACACAATTTGATCTGTAGGTCCACTTGTCTACAACCAGGGTGTCCATAAATGTATAGAAATTGGACCTGTCCCTGTTGAACTGGATGAATTAAAATCATTTATGGCCAGCTTTAGTGTTGCCCATAAAAGGAGATGAGCATACAGTGTTTATCTCAAATCAAAAGATATTCTTAGAGGCAATTTTGTACAGAAATAAAAACAGAAATTATAACTCTTCTCTGTTCTAGCAAAATCATTGACTAGAGTTAGGCATTAAAGTCACATCTAGTTAAAACGGTATGTTGGCATGTTTTTCATTTGCATGAGCTGCCCAACTGGAAACCTCCCAAGATCGTGTGGGCTGATGAAGTTTGTGTGATCAACCTCACAGACAATTATAGCAACACACAATAGTTCAGTGACGACACTACCAGTCATTGGGAAGAAGGTTGGAGTTATTGTTTATGGGAGTCCATTGTCTTTCATAGGAGATGTGTGCTCAAACAGCTTGTGTAGTTGAAAATCCCAGCAAGGTCCTCAGAGTTTCTTGAACTTTTGGGTTCAGGTCCAGCTGAGTCTGACCCGAACTATAGCTCGTCTTTGCTCCTGGTCTATCTACTTGTTCTGGGTCAGGAACTCAGAAAGCCTTTGATAGCGAGGCAACTGGCTATTTTCAGGAGATGACTCCAGTGGCGTACTTGCTTCTTCTCCTTAAATCCATTTGTCGGTGGGGTGAGTATCTTTCAATAGCTCTTCAGATTCGGGTATTTATAGATGAGATTGTGTTCTTTGCACAAGTATTACTGAGCCGTAGAGAAGTATTCCGTCTGCATTTCCTGTAGTAATGCTGATTTTATAGGTTGTTTTAGCGTTAGCTCACTTGATATCTCTTCTTTTGTCTTTTGCAGGTGGTGCACTTTACCAGCCCGTTACCATGGTAACATCACAGGGACAGGTAGTAACTCAAGCAATCCCCCAGGGGGCCATCCAGATCCAGAATGCACAGGTGAGCTGAGATGAATAGATATATGTCTCATAGAGGAATTTATTAAAAAGAGTGTGCCCTGACTGTGCAATCCCGACTTCATACCAGACGTTGTTTTGCTGACTTTCATAACGACATAAAACGACCATGAAACAGCTGTGCGAACGCTGAATGAACGGCTTTTGTGTTTTAGTTTGTATCTGTGATATAATAAGAAAAAATGCTAAGCTAATGCAGCTCAAGAGCGTTTCAATAGGTGTACTTTAAAGTCAAGAATAATAATGTCCCATAATCCTTATAATGTTCAGCCCCCTGCATTGGGCTTGAGGTCTCATTGGGAGCCTGGCTTGCAACACAAGAGCGTTTCAATAGGTGTACTTTAAGGTCAAGAAAAATATTCACAGATATTCAGAAATCTGACCAGAGAGCCATCCCAAGCTATATAACTAGACCAGACATGCAGTGACTGCTATAGGCTAGAAAATATATAAACCCGATGTGTCCCAGGGTCAACGAATCAAGGCACCGCATCCCAATTTATCCTAAATAACGCAAACACCTAAACCCCAAGGATTTTTAGGACGTCACCAAGCTCCGTGTTCGAGCCTAAGCATTAACTTAACAAAATAATATTTTAAAATTGCATTTAAAAACCATAATTCATATAATGTTCGGCCCCTTACATTGGGCTTGAAGTCTCATTGGGTGCCTGGCTTGCAATTTTGGTGATTCTGTCTTTGTTCTTTTTTCCATCCCCCTACCCTTCCTTTTTGGAGTAGGACAAACTTCATTTGGAACAAAAAAATATTTTGATTAAAATTTGCATTTAAAAAACATAATCCTTATCATCTTCGACCCCTTATGTTGGGCTTGAGGTCCTACCGGGTGGCTGGCTGGCAGCTTTAGTGTCTTTGTGTTCTCTTTTCCATTACCTCTCCCCCCCCCCCCTTTTTGGAGTAGGACACACTTTAACTGGAGGACTTTTCAAATGTCCACAGAAAAATGGTTGTGGCAGATATCCCTGACTCCTTTAGGATGGAAATCATCTCCCAGTTTATTCTAGACAAAGCCTACAACTATAACCTCAAGAAGTTTTAAGATGTCCCATAATCCTTATAATGCTTGGCCCCCTACATCGGGCTTGAGGTTCATTGGGTGCCTGGCTTGCAACTTCAGTTATTCTGTCTTCTTTGTTCTCTTTTCCATCCCCCCCCCTTTTTTTGGAGTAGGACAAACTTCATTTGGAGAACTTTTCAGGAAAATGCTTGCAACAGATATCCCTGACTCCCCTGTGGAGGCAATCGTCTCCCAGTTTATTCTAGACAAAGCCTACAATTCTGACCCCAAGGATTTTTAAGCTGTCACCACGTTCTGTATCAAAACCTAGGCATTAACTGAACAAAAAATATTTTGATTGAAATTTGCGTTTAAAAAACCATAATCCATATCATCTTTGACCCCTTATATTGGGCTTGAGGTCCTATTGGGTGACTGGCTGGCAGTTTTGGTGGCTTTGTTCTCTTTTCCATTACCTCCCCCCCCTTTTTTGGAGTAGGACACACTTCAACTGGAGGACTTTTCAAATATCCACAGAAAAATGGTTGCGGCAGATATCCCTGACTCCTATAGGTAGGCAACCGTCTCCCAGTTTATCCTAGACAAAGCCTACAACTATAACCTCAAGGATTTTTCAGCCAAGTTCTGTATCAAAGCCTAGGCATTCATTGAACAAAATATTATGATTTTAAAATTGCATTTAAAAAACTATAACCATATCATCTTTCGGCCCCTTACATTGGACTTGAGGTCCCATTGGGCGCCTGGTTAGCAATTTCGGCAATTCTGTCTTCTTTTTATTCGTTTCCGTCCCCCACTACTACCACCTGTCTTTTTGGAGTGGAACACACTTCAGTTGGAGAACTTTTCAAATGTCCACTTAAAATTGGTTACTGCAGATATCCTGATCCCTATAGGGAGGATAGTATGATGGAATTACACAACTTATTCCTTGGAACCTTAGATCGCTTACGTATTCCCATGACTTAAAATCAGGTGTCACCATGACACTTATTATTGTTTCATTGTCTTTATTATTGTTGTGTGAATGTCTTTTTTTCTTTTTTTTTTTTTTTACCCAGTTTTGACTTGCCTGTATATCTTTTGAGTGGCCTGTGGCCTATTTTGCGTTCTAACAAAACTTAAATAAAGAATTTATATTACAAAAAAAAATATAATCTATAAAATATTATATATATACATATTTTTCTCAAAATTTCATATGGAGATGTAAATATCATTCATATACTGTATGTACACAGCTCCCACACATATGCTCTTAACCATCCACTCATTGGTATGTCACAGCGTTTTCTTGAAAATTCACAAATAGGTTAACAGTGAGATGGTAGCAATGTGTTCCAGATAAATTCCAGGTATAGCAATCTTTACATAGTTACATTGATCCAGCTTGTATCAGTGTATGTGCCATTCCTGAGGGATCCCCATGGAAGCAGGAAATAGCTCCAGTTATCTCCACTAGCTTCCAGGTCCTATGGTCCATAGGTATGGCACATACATACTTACATTGGTCCAAGCTGGAACATTGTAACTATATCAAAATGGTTTAGAATGACGAAGTAGATAGAGAGCAGGAGGCCTTTGGAGGGGCAGAGAAGATGGTTTGGGTAATATGTTGAGATGAGGTTGGTAATATAGCTGGGGGCACAGTTTTAGATGGCTCTGCATGTTGTAGTTAGTATTTTTATGTTTTAGTGTTGGGCGAGTGAAAGCCAGCAGTGGGTTACTCTTCTCATTGATTTGGATATAGTTGCCATACATGAGTGAATGTAATGTTTTGTTAGGTAGGTACTCCCTATCAGATATTTTTAATGCCAGTAGCATTATTTCTGGTGTTTGGAAAGCAGCTGGTAAAGCTGGCCATAGATGGTTCAACTCTCGGCTGGTTTAGCCGGAACTGGGCGAGATTTGAACCATCTATGGACAGGCTGATTGTACCCAAGTTGATCCATCGATCGACATGTGTACAACCAGCATGCTTGATTTCTACCTGCAATTATTGCCAGTGGTTAAAGCCGCTAGTTATAATCACTGTGTTCTCTCAGCATGGACATCTCCCCACTCCCCTCTGCCGAGAGAACGCAACAATACCTCCATGGGAGGGATTCCCCGATCAACACTGACTATGCAGATGGGGGAATCAAGTGATTTTCTTTCCTGAAACCCGTGGTTGCACCATCGGAATTTGAAAGTCCTGACCTCTATTCTACTGAACTGAATTAGAACACCAATTGTGAACCAGATCTTCTCATCTAACATGAGTAACTGACCTTGGAAATACTATTCAGTCTAAATGGTCTCAAATTCCCACAAAATCACTCCAAAATCCTTTAGAAAACCCACCCCGAAGAGTGAAGGCTGCTATAGCCAAAAAGTGGGCCAACTTCAGGGGCGGACTGACAACTCATTGGGCCCCCAGGCAATAGGGGATCATGGGGCCCCTGTGTCCTTGCCCAAACTCAAAAAAACCTATGAAAAAGGTATCAGGGGCATCTCATGGGGACCCCTACTGACCCCGGGCCCTCGAGCAGTGCCCGAGTTTCCAAATGGTCAGTCTGCCCCTGGCCAACTCTATAATAATGACCATCATTTTAGAATGGGTTGTCCAACAAGCTCATATAGGTGTGATGGTCAGATGTCCACAATATTTCAGACTGTGTATGTTTAACCACTTCTCTGAGGAAGATTACCCTGTTATAGCCAGGCCATTTTTTGCTATACAGCACTGCACTACTTTAACTGACAATTGCTCGGTCATGCAATACTGTACACAAATGAAATCATTTTTTTTTGCACAAATATAGTTTTCTTTTGGTGGTATTTTGTCACCATTGGGTTTTTTTCATAAAAAAATTTAAAAAAAAAAAAATATCTTCATAAATTTAGGCCAAAATGTATTCTGCTACATGATTTTGGTAAAAAAAAAAAATCCCAGTGAGTTTATATTAATTGGTTTGCGTGAAAATGATACGGTATATATACTGGATTTTTTTTTTTTTTATACTAGTAATGGCGGTGATCAGCAACGTATAGCAGGACTGTGATAGTATAGTGGGCAATCTGACACTAACTGACAAACTGCCACTAATACAGTGATCAGTGCTGATCATTTACACTGACACTGTGCTAATGACACTGGTCAAGAAGGGGTTAACATCTGTGGCAATCAAAGGGTTAACTGTGTGCATAACTATGTATAATGTGTTGACTGTGTGCTGTTTTACTAGGGGAAGTGACAGTTTTTATCTCCCTGCAAAGGGACATCCCCGCTGTCAGCAGAAAGATCTGTGATGTTTACCAACACAGATCTCCCTCCTGTTGCTAGCTCTGACGATCGTTGGGTCCTAGCCAGGGGCGGACTGACCATTCTTGCACTTGGGCACTGCCCGAGGGCCCGGGGTCAGTAGTGGGCCCCATGAGATGCCCCTGGTACCTTTCATTGTCTGTTACATAGGCTTTTTTGGGTGCGGGCGAGGACACAGGGGCCCCATGATCCCCTATTGCCCGGGGGCCCCATGGGTTGTCAGTTCGCCCCTGGTCCTAGCTGTGAATCACCATGATCGCCATGTCAGGGAGGCAATGACAGCGAGGGGAGGAGGGCACGCGCGCCCCCCTAATCCCGCAGTAAAGCTACGGTACGCGTTCGGAGGGTGGCAAGCTATTCAAGGAATCTGTTGCTTTGCCTGAAAAATGCAGGCTGACTTTAAGACATCCCAACTGTAAGAGGAAATAATAAGGAAGCAGCAGTGACCCACTTTCTAAATGCTTGAAAACCAGTTGTTAACCGCACAGTTCTGAGCAGCTGATGGCCATGGAATTCTACAGATTTCATTCCAGTAACAGCCTAAAAATAATCCTTATCAACTTCCTGTGTTTGTATCCTACTACTCAAATCTATGCTGCCAGCATGCTCACCACTTACCAACATTGGTCATGAGTGCCTAGGCCTTACC